CCGCTGCGACGGCTGCGCCCGGGCGCGCGCTTCCAGCCGGTGGCGGCGGCAGCAGTGCGCCCAGCAGTTTGAATTTGAGAGGCTTCGCCGGCTCCCCGGGACGGGGCCGGGGTGACGTCACGGGGGGCAGGCCGGGGCTGGAGGGCGCCCGCCCCGCGAGTGCCTTTGCCAGGCTCACACCCGGCTGCGGCAGTGGCTGCTCCACTCCCCCCTCCAGCCCCGCGGCCGGCGACTCTGGCGGCCGGCTCTCCGGGGGCGGCCCCTCCCTGCTGCCTGTTCCGGGGCGGGGGTCCTCCTCCCAGAGTCCCCAACAGGGGTCCAGACCTTCCCAGTCAGGTGTGTGGAGGCGGCTGAGAAAGAGACGCCCTTCTTTGCCACGGGACTGGAGCCGCCGGCCAGACTCCGGAGCTCAGCTGCTCTCCTGGCGGAGTGGGCTGCGCATCCGTGCGTCCGCGTGGGAGGTCCGGGAGTTCTCCCAGGGGGTTAGGCTTTCCTCACAGCGCTCCCCTCCAGTGCCAAGAGAACTACTTTCTGGGTCTCACTCAGCAGGCACAGGCACTTGCCTGGATTCTGAGAGCCCGCCCCGCCTTAGCTCCGAGGGGCAGATAAATAACAAAACCCTCCCCCCCGGGGTTTAAATTTAGCCAGACGGTGAGATTTAAACATGCATGTTCTCCCCCAAGGAAGAAGAGTGGGCCTCAGCGAGGTGCTGCCTGAGCGTCAGCCGGGAGTGGAGCCCGGGAGGGCTGGGAGCCCCAGGCTGCAGGCTGGCTCCAGAGGCAGAGCCACAGTGGAGCCTGGCCCGAGACCCGGGAGACCCGGGCTTTGACCGAGCACTGCTGTTCCATGCCTGTGACTTGTTTCTGGATCTTCCCTCCTCCACTGGGGAAATGGGGTGAGGAGAGGTCCTCACAGTTCCCCGTGCAATCGGGTCACTGCATTATTTAGCGGCAAGGGTTGGCTTGGGCCTTCATTCCATCCTTTCTCCTCAAATTATCGTAAGATTCTTGACACAGGGAACTCCCAGTGTGGGTGCACTTGCAAGAGGCAAATGTCTGCTGTGCCCACAAGGGCCAGGGGGATGCCTCTGGTGGGGCGGGGGAGATTAGGCAGGGAAAGGAGGGCATAGAAGAGCAAAAGAGGATGGGAAAGAAATTGACTAAAGAGTCTGCCAGTCCTGCTTCAGATTGCTGTTCTACCCCACCAGCAGCAGAAGAGTCCACACAGCATCACAAGGCTGGGCCAGATACAGAGCAGTGACAGGACAGAAGCAAATCCAGCTGTGGCCCCCAAAGCCCCTGCTCTCCTCCCTCGGCTTGTATGTAAGCTCAGGTGCTAAGATTGTTCCAGCAGAACAAGCTCTTTCCTGCCCAGGAAGAGCTTGGGATGGCTCATCAACTTAGGGACTAAGGCAACCTGTGGCTCTGGAAGTCTCCAGAATTTTTCTGAGACTTTCTCCTTTTCCACCTCTTATTCTTCAGAAAGAGCCTCAGAGCAGACACCATGAGCCCCTCCCCATCCTATCATTGTTGCTTGGTCTTCCCAAGTCTTGCCTTCTTAGGCCTGAGAATGTCCTCCTCTATGCCGAAGGGTGGGGTGGAGAGGCTCAGTCCCCAGAGGGGGAGGGGCAGCCTTGTGGTGATCTACTCTAG